GGAGCCGGGCGACCCTCCGCCCTCCCGCCCTCTCTCCTCCCCGCCGGCGGTCCGGGACCCGGGGAGTTCTCGGAGTCTCTCTGTGCACACCCGCTCTGCTCGCCGGCTGCTGAAAGGAAGTCTCCCTTTTCCTCCGGCAGTTTAGAAAGAGGCAGTATTTCCCCCTCCCCTCTAAGGTGCTCAGCTGTCTTGAAGAGTGAAGGGTGGTGCTTTCCCACGTTGCCAGACTAGAGACAAGGTCTCCGCGGGTGAGATCTGGAAGAGGAGGGCCTTTTAAACTGGGATTTGCAGCTTTGTTTGTCGGGGGTAGGGTAGGAGTATTGCTAAGCAGAGGTTCGGGGTGGCCTCCCAGCTCTTTTGTCAGTGTTTGCATTGTTACTGTCATTCACGAAAGGGGCAGCTGGAGATGGCATCAGCACTTTTTTCTGAGCAGCCTCACCAGCCTCTAGTCGCTCAACACCAAGCAGGTGCTGAAACTACCTAACAAATTAAATTAGGTTTTGAGTGAATTAGTCTTCTGTCCACACTATTTAAAAACATTTTTGAGCTCTTTAAGAAAGTGTAGGGACTTTCCTTTTAATAAAGCTCTTGTTAGAATGACTCTTTTCTGGGATTTCTTTCAGGAGCCACATTCCTGGTATGTTAACAAAGAAAGTTCCACTGTGGATCCTAATAGTGTTCAGTCATTTGGTGTTGGCTTATCAATAACTGAGACCTAACTTTAATGAGAATCGGATCATGTTTCCCTTGGCAAACTGTTGGGTTGGAGAGTGACATGTTTTGTGAGAAAACAGAGATTTGGAAGACAATTCATTTCTCTGAAGTTGCTAAACTAGCTCATTAAGTACATGCACTTTACTGACTTAAGATTTGCTGTGTTAAGAAGACACAAAAAAATCATGATGATTGGATTTGCAAGCCCAACAGGTAGCTACAGTTTTGTATCAAGCACATGACATTTAATGATTATGTCAGCTTCCCTTTATGTTCCTAAAGTACTTCATAAACATTTGATCAATTCTAACAACCTTAGAATGTCGGTTAAGCTTTTCTTGTTTAACATATGGGGGGAGGGGGCAATGTGCCAAAGACTGTACTAAACCAGAGGCAGAATAGGAATTGAGAAATGGGAGTCCCTGGTTCCTGGGTTTGTCCTCCAGTTAGTGCATTATTAATATTAAATTTTATCAATGAATAGTAGTCTCTTCAGGGTTGTAAATTACTAAGCTTTCTTCAGTGTGTTTTAAAGAGTTAAAAAGTCTCAGTATTCACTTTCATGGTTATCTTTTGGTTAATTTTTTGTTTTTGTTTTCTCTACCTTTCTCTAAATGTTTTAAACTTATTTGTAGTTTGTATTGAAATGTGGGCAAATGATTATGAAGGTTTTTTTTTTTTTATAATTTTTTGAACATTCTTTGTGTAGATAAGGCATAGTTCACACTTTGGACTTGAAAAAGACTTCTTTAGTAATCTCAAGTAGAGGAAGACATAATCTAGCTCAAAACATTTTGTGATTATAGATGTTTATCAATAGTGAACTAAAATGTACTATTTTCTAAAAATTTTATAATATAATTTCCCTGATTTCTTAATGAAATCAGTAATGCCATTTTGGTAATGCAAAATTGTCACAGAGAATCTTGTTAAAAAGAATTTTTAATGTAGCCGAGTATACTTTGACGTGGTCTTGTAATTTCTGTATTTAATATCCCAGTGTACCTATATTGATCACATTGACCACTGGAAAAATTCTACTTGTATTATTATTGTTTTTCTGGTAAACTATTCCTAAAATGTGTAATAGGAGAGTGATGTGCTTGTGGATTGCCATTCTGTGGTTCCTACAGCATTCAAATTGTGTCTGGGGTTAAAGTGTTCCATGGCTGATATAAATAAGGGTAAAATCACATTTGCTAGTTTAGAAGAAGTGTATGTACATATATATGTTACACACACACACACACACACACACACACACACACACAATCTTCATTTTTATTTACCCCTTGTTATATGGTAGATACATTGATGGAAGTATAAATTAGTCCTTGCCCTCAAGGAATTTAGTTTATTTGAAGTAAGTAATAGCTCAAGACAGCTATTATCAGATAAATTGAGACAGTGCTCTTAGGAGTTCTGAGGAGGGTGGAATCACTTCAAAGCAGGATTTGAATTGTACTTTGAAGAAAGATTTGGGAAGTAGGAAAGAACATGGAGGAACACCACAAAGATACAGAGGCAGGTAAATGTAAGTAGGTCAATTTGATAAGAATGGAAGGTTCACACAGGGGTGCAGTTCATGAGACTGGTTGGAGCTAGAGTATAGATGTCTGAATGCTATGCATCATAGGGATTTGACTTATTCAGTAGGCGGTCAGGACCAATGGAGAAGTTTCTGAGTAGGGGACTAATATGAGCGTAGCATTTTAGGAAAATTAATCTCATAGGAAGGTTAATCCTTACTTCTTTACGGATATACAGCAGGGATCAGCAAACTATGCTCACAAATCCAGCCTGCTGTCTTTTTCTTAAAGTCTACTAGCTAAGAATGGTTTTTAAATTTTAAAGGGTTGAAAAAACAAAATCCAAGATGTGCAATAGAGACCGTATGTGGCCCGTAAAGCCTAAAATCCTTACTGTTTGGTCCTTTACAGAAAAAATTTGTGGATCTCTAGTGTAGGTTAGTGGCTCTCAGAGTGTGATCTCTAGGCCTGCAGCTCGTGTCTATACTCTGTACTTTCTCCAGATTTGTTACTAGCTTTCATTTCATTATTTAAGGCCCTTGTTGTCTGTCAGGACAATTATAACGGCCTCCTGACGGGCTTTCTTTCTGTCAGCCTTATCCTCCTTAAGTCTTTTGCTCCCTGAATAACCTATCTGACCACAATTTCTTTGCGTAAAACCTCACTTGTCCCATCTTGCCGGTTGGATAAGGTATCAGTCCCTTTGTGACTTGGCATCTTCCTATCTTGCTTTGGCCACTACCCTCCACCCATCCCAGTTCTTGCCTTTAACTAACCTTAAACAGCATCTAGCAGCTGTTCATTGTTTCGTTAAATACACTGTGCTGTTTCTTATCAAGCTGTTCCCTCTGTTGGAGTGCACTATTTCCAGGATAACGCCTACTCACCTTTTAAAGACTCAGGTGTTAATACCTCTATGAAGTCAACCCTAATGCCTTCTCTTCCCCAGACTATTTTTAATGTTCCTTTGTGCTCCCATAATATCCTTTGCTTATCTCTCTACATATATTTGCCTTGTTACTTGTGGTCTTCTATAAGATTATGAACTCCTCTAAGGCAGGAACTATGTATTCTTCATTTTTTAGTACCCTAAGTACTCTGTACAGATTTTGTATATAGTAGATATTCAATAAATATTTGAGTAAATGAATGTTAAAGTGCTTGGCATATAGTATATATAGACAGAGATATTGATGTTTAAATCCTGAAGAGCAGGGGTTTTATAGGACTGTTTCAGTTAAGTCTCTGAGCATAGTATGAGTGAAGACTCATGGTGATAAGAAAGTATTAGAAATTTTGATCCAGCAGTTGGGGGATACCTTTTAATGTAAGATTTTTGAGGAAGTATGACTTACGTAAAGGAAAGTGTACAGCTGGATGAATTTTCACAAAATAAACACATTCACGTAGTCAGCACCCAGCTCAGGAAACATCAGTAACTGTAATTCTCATCCCCCACCCACCCCATCCTTATATTTTCTTGTATTTTAACACTATAGAAAAGTTTTGTCTGTTTTCGAACTCTATATAAGTGGAATCATATACTAATATGTCTTATTTG